ATTTATTTATGCATACAGAACTGGGGCATAGGCCAGAGGTACAGGGGCGTTGAGAGGCTTCACCATCGACAGAGAGGGTAGCAGAACAGGCAGATTAACAGAGTACACCGTTGAGAGGAGCAGGTGGGTGGGTCAGGAGTGGTCTGCCTGTGCTCCGAGACTGGGGATCGAACTCCCACTGAAGCAGCTGCACTAGCTTGCAGTGTTGAGTCCTAACCCATTGCACTGCCAGGGAGGGCCCAAAAGTTATACTGTTTTAAGAGTTTCAGGTCTTAAATTTATATATATACATAATCCATTTTGAGTTAATTTGTATGTACAGTGTAAGATAAGGGTCCAGTTTCCTTCTTTTGCATGTTTTCATTCAATTTTCCAGATACTATTGGTTGTAGATATTGTCCTTCTCCTATTGTATATTCTTGGCATTGTTATTGAAGATTATTTCACTGTATATGTATGGACTTATTTCAGACCCATTAACCTAGTTGTCTATTATTATGCCAGTACCATGCTGTTGTAATTACTGTAACTTTGAAATATAGTTTTAAATTAGAAAGTCTAATACCTTCAACAAAGTTATTTTTCCTCAAGATTGTTTTGGCTATTCAGGATTCTTTGTGATCCATATGAATTTTAGAATTGTTTTTCTGTTTCTGTAAAGAGTGCCATTGAGATTTCAGTAGGGATTGCCTTGAGTTTTTGGATTGTTTTGAGTAGTATGGACATTTTAATAATAGGTCTTAATAATAGGTCTTCCAGCCCATGCACAGGAGATGTCTTTCTGATCATTAACTTCTCTCTATCTACAGTTTTTTAAATATTAGTTTTATTGAGGTGTAATTTTCTTTTTTTTGTTATATATAAAAATACATCATTGTGGCCCTCCCTGGTGGCGCAGTCGGTTAAAGCACAGCACAAAGAAGCTTAAGCCACTTCCCCATGAGTTTGATTCCCCGATTCCCTGCCTGCCCCGGAGGAGGTCCACATGGCGCGGCAGACCTCTCCTGACCCTCTCACTGCTCCCCTCAGCAGTGTACTTCTTCGATCTGCCTGTTCTGTACCCCACTCTGTCTCTGGTGAATCCTCTCACCTTCCGCATCTCTGGCCTGTACCCCAGTTCTGTACAAATAAATAAATCTTAAAAAAAAAAATACATCATTGTTAATTTTAAAACAATGTTTACTTCCTCCCCTCAGCTGTAGACTCCATAGAATTTCCTCCCCCAGTTCACCTGTGCACCATAACCGCAATCTCCTGTGCTCCTTCCGACATGTATCTTTAACTTTTTCTTCGGTGTTTTGTGGTTTTCAGTATACAGATCTTTTGCCTTCTTAATTTTATTTCTAAGTATTTTATTCATTTGATGCTACTGAAAATGGGATGTATTCCATTATGTCATTGATCTTGGCGATTATTTCATGGCTATAACACCAAAAGGTCAGACGACAAAAGTAAGAATACACAAGTGGCACTACATTAAGCTAAAATGCTTCCCCACTTCAAAGGAAACAATCAACAAAATGAAAATGACATCTATAAAATAGGAGATAATATTTACAATGATTAATTGATAACACATTAATATCCAAACTATATAAAAAACTGCTACAACTCAATATCAGAAAAAAAAGTAACCTGATTTTAAAAAGGACCTGAGCAGCTATTTCTTCAGAAAATATACAATATACAAATGCCCAGCAGATATATGAAAAATCGGTTTAAAGTCACTAATCATTAGGGAACTGAAAACTAAAGTCATAATAAGGGGTAATCTCATACCCCTTATTGCTGTTGCTAAAAAAAAAAATTAAACAAAAAATTTTGGCAAGTAGGTGGAGAAATCAGAACCCTCATACATTGTTGGTAGGAATTAAGATTTTGTAAAGCATATGGGAAATAGTATGGTGGTTTCTTAAAAAAATTAACATGGACAGTATTGTATGATCTAACAATCCTTCTTCAGTCCAAAAGAATTGGAATCAGGATTTCAAAGGGACATCCGCATTCTGAATTTCACTGTAACGTTATCTGCAGTAGCCACGATGTGAATACAGCCTATGTGTCCATTTACAGATGAATGGGTAAAGCTATAGTATATCTCTACATTGGGCTATTACTCAATCTTTACAATGAGTGAGATTCTGATACAAGTGACAGTATGAGTAAACCTTGAGGATATAATGTTAAGTGGAATAAATTAGTTACAGAATGACAAGTACTATATTTCTACTTACATGAGGTATCTAAAAATAGTAACTCATAAAAAAAAGGGAGTAGGATGATAGTTACCAAGGCCTGGTTTGGGGGAAGTAGGGAGTTATTCTTAATGGCCACAGAGTTTCTAAATGAGGTGACAGAAAAGATTTGGAACAATAGTGGTGATGGTTGACAATGTAATTAAGTGGACACTGAATTGTCCACTCAAAAATGGCTAAAAGGAACCCTCTCTGGTGGCTCAGTGGGTTAAAGCATAGCCACTGCAGTGCAAGTTTGATTCCCAGCAGGAGAAGAGACCCATCTGGCATGGCAGACCTGTGCTGACCCGCCCGCTGCTCCCCTCAGCAGTGTATTTCAGTTGATCTGCCTGTTCTGCTCCCTGCTCTGCCTCTGGTGAAGCCTTTCACTGCAAAACCTTCATCCCCCGCACATCTGACCTATACCCCAGTTCCTGTATGTGTACATAAATAAATCTTTAAAAAAATGGCTAAGAGGGCATAAAATTTTAAAAGATGGTCATAACAGTAGAAGTTAAATAAGAGTCAGATTTCTGGGTAGTACGGTGATTCTGTAGCTTTTTGAGTAACTGCAAGACTTTGCCACAGCAGCTGTACCACTCTACATACCCATCAGCAATACCCAAGGGTTGTAATCTCTCATTTCTTCACTAACATTTGTTATCTTATTTTCCCTCTATTATTTTTTTTAAAGATATATTTATTTACGCATACAAAAGCTGAGGTACAAGCCAGAAATACGGTGAGAAGAGTCACCAGAAACAGAATAGGAAGCCCAGTAGGCGGAGTAACTGAAATACACTGCTGAGGGGAGCAGTGGGCAAGACATGAGAGGTCTGCTGGCCATGTGGGTCAGCTCCCTGGCCAGCGATCAAACTTGTGCTGCAGTGGCTGCAGGTGGCTTCATAGTGCTACATCTTGAACCGTTGCACCACCAAGGAACCCCACTATTCCCTGCTCCTCCCTTATTATAGCAATGCTATCATTGTAAAGTGATATCTCACTGTGGTTTTGCTTTGTAATTCTAAAGTGTCTAAGGATATTTAGAGTCTTTTCATGTATTTATTGGTCATTCATTTATCTTCCTTGTAGAACTTTTTGGTTGACCTGTTTTTCCTTTCATGACTGATTTAAAGGAGTTCTTTATATATTCTGGCTATGAGATCTTTTTTTAAAGATTTATATATTTGTGCATACAGAACTGGGGTACAGGCCAGAGGTGCAGGGGTGGTGAGAGGATTCACCAGAGACAGAGTGGTGAGCAGAACAGGCCAACTGACTAAGTACACTTCTGAGAGGAGCAGCAGGTGGGTCAGGAGAGGTCTGCCACACCATGTGGTCACCTCTGGGGCAGGCAGGAATCGAACTCATGCAGGCGGAAGTGGCTTTAGCTTCTTAGTGCTGTGCTTTAACCTGCCGCACCACCAGGGAGGGCCCAGATCTCTTTTTTTAAAATTTTTAAAAATTTTAAAACAATGTTTACTTCCCCTCTGCCCCACCTGACTAATAGGTCTTTTCTTAGATATGATTTGCAAATATTTTTCTCTTTCTATAGGTAGTCGTTTCATTTTCTCAATAATGTCCTCCCATACAAAAGGTTAGATGAAGTCCAATTTTTTTTTCATTTTGCTTCTTATTCTTTTGGTGTTGTAGCTATGAATCCATTTCTAGATCCAAGGTCATGAAGGTTTGACCCTTTATTTTCTAGTTCAATAGTTTTTAGGTCTTATATTTAGTTTATTGATCCATTTTGAGTTCATCTTCATATATGGAATGAGGTAGGGGTCAGACACATATCTTTGTTTTTAGACTTTTTAAAAATGCAAACATTTTAAAGATTTAGTAGTCACATCACAGCTTCTTCACAAAGATAACAACCAAATGCAATATTAATGTATTTTAAAGCTTGATACGTTGGAAAAGGAAATAAAAAAGGCATGTTTAAACTTACCCACACTATTATCTTCCAATGAAAGATGCTTGGATGTCCACAGATTCTTTTCCTTCTAGTTTTTACCTCTTCCTGACTGTTTTTGCTGGTAGACTAGGTTTCAAAGGACTGTTTACTAACTTTTTCAGTGGTGAGGAGCATAATATCATGAATGCTGGAGAAGATATTCTCTTTCTTGTATCATTGTCTCCTTTCCTTCCGTAGAGAGGGTTTATTCTCTTAGGATCATACCAAATTCTCATGAATCCAGATTTGGAAGGTTACAAACACCTAGCATATAAAAAATGGCTAACCTTTGGAGAACACATAAAAAAATCTATTTTTGTTTTGGTTGTCAGAAACATTGACAGGATTGAACTAATTGCATATCATCATATCATTTTCTTTTAGTCCTTTTTTAGGCTATTATTTATTTATTTTCTTTCTTTAAAGATTCAACTCTGTCTAAAGAAGAATAGGTCATTTCACCGTTTGCCAAATGAAGCACAGCTCCAACTTTGCCAGACCGCAATCTATCAAGAGTAAGTCACATGAAATTATTCCATTTGGGGCTTGGCAGTCCCCTAAAAAAGATAGTGGCAGATGGTGAATAGAGTTACATAAAACCTCAAAGACAAAAGATATGTTACAAATTGAATAGTGACCAAAATAACTAATATTTAGGTTTTGTGCATTAAATTCTGTAATACAATGGTGAGGTTTTAAATCATCCTGAAGGAAATTAGAATTGGAAATAAGATGAAGATGAAAGCTTCTTAATAACCAAGATACCAAAACCATAAAAAAAAGTGGTTTACTGTAACAGTCCACTTTATCATCTAGAGAAGGAAAAACATGCAAAATGTATTAGGTAAAGTACCCTAAAGTTTTCTATAAATGTGAAATTGGCATTTGCAATTTGGTTTTGTCCAAAATTTATTGAACAAATTCTACATTTTAATAGTTCCCTGTAATGTAAGCTTTACCAACTCAATGTAGTATAGAAACAAAATAACAAGCTACCTTTGGCAGCCCCCATTTTTGTTAGGGTATGTATACTTGATTTAGATTTGACAGATACAGCCTCAGGACATTTAATTTGAAATTACTTTCTTTGGAGGAAAAGGAAGAACATGGGTCATCCATTTTGCTTGTGTAAGTGTTGGCAAAGACCACATGAATCTTTGTTCAAATGTAGCCCCAATTTCCTGTCTGTGATGGAAATAGTGTGGTTCTGGAATCTACCCAACTCTTTCACCAGAATTGCTCCTTGACATTGGCCTACAAACTATTTCACTAACCTTTCCAGAAATTCTATAAGCTACTTAATGTTTGCAGTAAACCCTTTCTTTCTTAAGCCAAAATGGATCCTATTGTCTGCAATCCAGAACCCTATTAAAGACAAGATTTATTGGACATGTGATTCTTTCTTGGAAAAATTTTTAAAATGTAGCATTAATATGAGGTCTTATTTTTATCATGGACATTTAGAAATTTGTAAATTATGTGTGTTACAATCACTAAACACCAGTTACTCAGTAAAGATTGACATTAGTATTTGTTCAAGTTTACCCTTTTAAATGGATATTAAAAACTAAAAATGAATCATAAGTAATTGATACCTATAAGTATCTATAAGTAATTAATACCATTCATAGTTTCATACTGAACTCTTCTTTGAGTTCAGTAGACATATATGGCCATATGTATATTTACGTAGACATTTAAAGTTGCAAATGTGAAGATTTTAAATCTTTCTCTTTTTATTTATTTATTTTTTTTCACAAGGTTAGGGAGTTAAGAATTTATTCATTTTTTGCTTATCATTTTCTCTTCAGTTTCCATTATAGCATCTGACAGATAAATATTTGCCAGTCAATATTTGCTCAGATGAGTTGATGAGAAAAGAATGGATGGCTGTGTTAGGCATGGGTTAGTGTGGAGTGAATCTCAGGAAACTCCTTGATATGGGACATAAACTAAGGCTGAAGCTGACCAGGTCATTATAAAGTAGAAAGGAACATTTTCTCTCTCTTTTTATTCTTAATAAAAATGCTCTGATTTGTTAGTTGGAGAAATTGTATCTTTTGACTTAAAACAAGAAAAAATGCTTAAGGAAGTCAATGATTCTAATCAAATTGTAAATATTCACATATGCTTCAAGTGCTCCAAAAGTATTAAATTAAATGTTTAAGCACCAGAAATCTATTTAATATTGGCATTCCTTCACATTACTCAAGTAGGCTATTGAAGAAACATTCTGGAGTCACAGTATAATAGAAATATAGAGTACAGACCCATGTGAATATTTTATGGCTTATTGTATGGATGGTATTCTTAAATTTTAATGTTGCAGAAGAAATGGGTAGTCCTAGAATTTTTGTGTCAGTGAGATAGAGAGGAGACTGGTGATCCAATTAGTATAATGGGCTTCTGGCAGCCAAATGATACACTTCAAAGCCTGGCTGACAGTAACTGGCCCTCATCCACACTTTTTCATAATCTAAAAGGAAGAAAACAGGATGTGGAATCCTCTTGTTGATTTCATCTGAGTCTTGAATACCAGACATTTCCCACTTTACTGTCTGTCATTCATATATTAGTTCTTCCTTCCCCCTGTAAATTCTCATTCTGCATACTTTCTCATCCTTCATTTTCCATCACATACTTATTATTATTGACCTGCTCATGATTCTACAGTGGTAGAGCTGACTATGGACTGTTCTCTTATTCTTAGTTCACAGAAAGTTATATTTCTCTTGTGAGTTTTTCTGTGATGTGGCAATTACTTCAGCAATTCTTTAACCTCTTCAAGGCTCAGAGTCCATGCAGTAGCTTTAAAATTGATATCTAAGGGCCCTCCCTGGTGGCGCAGTGGGTTAAAGCACAGCACTAAAGCTAAAGCCACTTCAGCCCTGTTTGTAGTATAGAGATTGTAGCTGCCACTCTGTCGGGGTAGAAAGAATTCTGGGTAGTATAATAACTAGCTGAAAATTTTTAATTATCCAGATGTTCCAGTATTTCATAGAACATGTTCTGTTCCAGTCTTTACAAGATCAATTCATGTTAGAAAAATAAACGTGCTTGCTCGTACTCTCAAATGCAGTGTTTTTCTAGAATTCCTTTTCAATATACAGAGTTCTGGGCTCCACCTCAGCCCTACTAAATCAGAATTTCCAAGCTATAAAGGAATCTCGCATCTCTTTTCAAATGTCCTGGAGGATATTTTATATTTACCAGAGATTACTCTATAAGTTAGTGGTGGGCAAACAACCATCTTCCAGCTGAATAATTGTAAATATGGGAAAGTAGTAGACCTATGAAACTTAATGGATTTAGTAGTGTAAGAAATCTTGTTAGAGGAATGCAACTCAACACCAAATTTAGGTATTTCAGAAAGTAAAAATCTTGCCTTACATCATGAACTCAGTAGTAGTGGGCTAGTAATGCCTCTATGATGTAAAAAAGAAGGGCTTACCTAGGAGTTAATTTTTACAAAAATAATATAATAGTTTATTTTTATATCATTTTGTGCCTTTTCTAAGGAGTTAATTTTATTTTTAAAACTTATTTATTTTTATTGTTTTTAATGAAGTAACACTGCATGTTTTATGGGAAGAGAATCATTTTTCTTAAAATGTATGTTAACCACAGCATACCTACCACCACAGCCTCCACACACAACCTCCACTCTCATCCATTGGTTCCTCTGCCCTTTGCTCTACTCTTCTTCCCATCCACACTCCAGTAACAACAGTTCTTCAGTAAGATTTGATTGCTTTGTTACTGGTTTGCTTTTGTCTGTTCCTTTGTTTGGTTTCTCTATCTTCCACATGGGAGTGAAATCATGTTATTTTCTTTCTCTTTATTTTGCTTACTTTAATCTCTCCATTTCTGTGCATCTTAGTGTGAATGGCAAGAGCCCATTTTTTTTTATAGCTGTGTAGTGAGGAATTAATTTTGGACAGAGACCTTCTGTTCTGCAGCAGTGCAACACCTTTTGCTTATTCATAAATCCACTCAATGTACGTTAATTGAATGCCTTCTTCTGAGCCAAATGTCATTTTATGCTCTGATGCTACATGAGTAGACAAATTGGCTAGACGCTCTGCCTTCAAGGTCTATACTAGAAAAGGATGATGTTTGCTTCTTAACTAATAGTAAAATCCTTTAGGGGTGAAGATGACAGGGTCATGTTTACCATTAATGACTTTAAACTTGCCATTTTGCAAAAGTAATGTTTTTGGTATTCTTTCACCCCAGATTTGAAGCTGAAACTATGGTTCTAAGACAAGGACATGTACCACTTGAATGCTACTTAATTCTTGCTGGACATTTAAAGGTCATGTCAAGTGATACAAACACAAGCAAAAATACCAACTCTGAAATTTTAAGTGAGTTTGAAGAAGGTGACTTCATAGGGGTAAATATTGTCTAAATTTCTTATTTTCTCATCATCTTTTTTATTTAAAATTTTTACAATGATGTGTCATTTCATTAAAATAACTAACATACTGTGATGGAGTATTCTCCTTAGCAATAGTATTTCAGTAATTTTAATTAGTAAAAAATACATCTTTTTAGCAGTAAACCAACTTTAGCAGGAGCCAACTTGGAGCCTAATGTACAGGTTGTCACCAAACAGACCATACAATGAGATTCACAAATAGTTACAGTATGAAAGATTGACTACTTAATTAAATGGTTATATACTGTGTAACTTAAGAGGTAGGGCAATATTTGAAAGTAAGAAGATGAACCAAAATAAGTCATTGATTCAAGAAACTTGTTTTGATTATGCAAAGAAAGTCTGTGCTTACAAAAGATATGATGCAAAAAGGGTAAGATTTAAAACAAGAAGGCAACTTGTGTGTAGTCATAAAACTTGCTCTATTTCTCTTTTTTGTCAAGGGCAGATTAGATCCGGATGTTCTTGAATACAAAGTCTCTAAGTCTATGAAGGTCTTGGGAGAGGACAGCAGCTGCTGGGGTTGATTTTTGGAAATGTCATTTGAGCAACAATGCTTAAGCGCCTGGACTTAATGAGGCAGAAGATCTCATTGAGGGTTTTTCAGTTGTAGGGAGATGGATCAGATTGGATGGGTGACTGGCATGGTGATGGACTATATTAGCAGAGAATGGAGAAAACAGAGTTGGCGGACAATTGAAAGATCAATGAGCAGATCCTTCCTGGGCCAAGGCCCTGGCAGGGGAGATAGCAAATAGAAAATAGTCTCAAAATACTTTATTGGTAACAAATTCAATGAGAAGAGCAAAGAGAAAGAACAGATGTATTTCTAACAATGTTCAATAAAAGTTAAGACACTTTTATACAGCACTCACATTGTTATGATTTAACTTAATTACATAACTAACTCTTTGATTGGTCAAAATTCTTTTGATATCTTGAGCATTGGTCAAGAAGTTGGGAAGGCTGTGGCTGTCTAAATATTCTAGTGGTGGAGGGACTTTACTCTTTGGACTGTATGATTTTACAGTGACATAGGACCTGGGGCATTTAGTATTAGATGGAGTCTCAAAGTCTCAGATAAATAAACCCTTTCCTTTTACACTTTAGTGTGTGGAGAACCAGGGCAGTTAATGAAATTACTCATGTTCACACAGCTAGTTGGGGCAGACGTGGGGGGAGAATCCTGCATTTCATGCTCTGCCAGTCCTCTGTGCTATCACAACTGTGTCCAGAGCAAAGAGAGCCACTGGTTTTTTAACTAAAGGGAGGAAACTTGGAGATCATCTGGACTGGTGCTTCTCTGCCAACATCACTATTAGTGAGAGCTCCCTAGAGAAACACAATCAGTAGGATCTATCTGGCTATATGTAGAGATAGCTACCTAGAGGAGATTTAGACAGCAGTTGGCTCACACTATTACGGAGGCTGAAAAGTTCCACAAGTGGCCCTCTATAAGCTGGTGAACCAAGAAAGCACAATGTGATTCAGTATTAAGTCCCAGACCCTGAGTGATAATTGAGAGGCGGATGGTGTAAGGCTTGGTCCAAATCCAATGTCCTGAGAACTAAAAGTGCTGATGTCAAGGAAGGGAGAAGATATGGTTCCAAAATCAAGCAAAGAGAGATTTCAAAATCATACCACTCTCCCTCTTCTGAGATAATCAGTCCTTGATTTTTTGTTGCTACATCTTTTTCAATGCTATTTTCCTTAAAAAGTGCTACGCTTTTGGCCCTCCCTGGTGGCGCAGCGGGTTAAAGCACTGCACTGAGAATCTAAAGCCGCTTCTGCATGAGTTCGATTCCCGCCTGCCCCGGAGGTGACCACAAGGCGTGGCAGACCTCTCCTGACCCGCCCGCTGCTCCCCTCAGCAGTGTACTTCGTCAATCTGCCTGTTCTGTACCCCACTCTGTCTGTGATGAATCCTCTCTCCCTCCACATCTTTGGCCTGTACCCCAGTTCTGTATGAATAAATAAATAAATAAATAAATCTTTAAAAAAAAAAAAAAAGTGTTACGCTTTCGCATAGGGTGACATTAACATTGTCCCCCGTCCCTGCCTTGCTAAGCATAGTGATCCAGGTCAGTGTCTCTACTGCCAGGCTTATTTTCTTCAGAACAAAACCTCTTTCCTGATAATAATAAAGTGCTGGCTGGGACTAGGACACAGCATTTTGCGTGTTTGTAGATCGTGCTGCTCTTTTAAGCATGTGAAGTTTTCCCAACTAAAGGCTCATCCAGCCTGGATGTTTTTATACAGTAGTTTGTACAGATCAATCCTGCTAGGCCTGATAGCACATGTGAACGTAAAGCTCAGATTTACTTTTAAAAAAGATTTTGCCTGAAATGATGCATATTTATAATTCTACAGGTTCTCAGAGTTTGATTACAAAAATCATGTCACATCTGAAATAGTTCTACAAGAGTGGCATTTGTTTTTATTTTTTTTCAGGAAATCTGCCTTTTAACTAAAGTCACTCGGCCTACTTCGATTTTATGTAAAACAGATGTAAAACTTCTGGTAATAAGTGATGAAGTAAGTGATCATATTCATGAAATGATTACTATTTTAAGGAAATCTTATGGAAAGCCTAAATAAATGTTAACACAAAAGGGAAAAAAGTTACCCAAATATAAGAAAGTAAAGAAAGAAAACAGTATTTTCATTGATAGCTGACTACTGAACTGAGACACCAAGTGAGGGAGGAGGAGATATCAGGAGGGCGGGAGGCAAAGTGGACTGTGATGGTAGAGTATGGGGGCGTTGGTTGTTGGGTGCACTAGGGTGGTAGTTCCTGATGGGGGTACCCTAATATTACCTCAGTTAGAAATAAATTAATTTAAAAACTAATTACATTGAGGATGATACTAATGAAAATTACCTGTTACAACTTAAATAATGTTAGTCTTAATGCTTTTGGTAATATATCTGCAGCTGTCATTAGATAATATACCCTCACAGCTGAGGGGGAGGCAAATTTTTCCTTCTGCCCTTTCAGGGTTCTTCAACTGGATCTGAAGCTAAACTGACGTAAGATAGATAAACAGTTGAAACACTAAATTTACATAAGTTTTATACGACATGGGAGCCCACAAAAGTAGCAAAACTGAAATATTTTTATAGTAGGTTGGCAAAAGAGAGGCAACTGTGCAAAAGTAAAATGCATGGGAGACAGAAGGAGGTAAAATTATTTTGATGTGATCTGTTTGTACAGAATTCTAGAGAAGAATGTTTCCTTTCTCCTGGTACAGGGATGGCATCTTTCACATGGGAGTTTTTTTTTTTTTTCCTTTTAAGATTTATTTATTTATGCATACAGAACTGGGGTACAGGCCAGAGGTGCAGGGGCAATGAGAAGCTTCACCAAAGTCAGAGTGGGGAGCAGAACAGAAAGATAGACGAAGTACACTGCTGAGGGGGGCAGCGGGGAGGTCAGGAGAGGTCTGCTGCTCCATGTGGGTCACGTCCGGGGCTGGGATCGAACTCATGCTGAAGTGGCTTTAGCTTCTTACTGCTGTGCTTTAAACCACTGCACCACCAGGAAGGGCCCCACACGGGAGTTTTTAATCTCCTGTTTCAGGAACAAAAAAGATTAAAATGCCCTTTTTGCAGCTGCTGTTTTTTTTTAAGTGCATTTTGCTGAAAATAATCCTTATGCCAGAGTAGCATTTATCAGAGTGGTATATTCTGCTGTTCTCACAGACCAGAAAGATTTTTTCAAGGATAAAATTAGATCACCCACATAAATCTATTATATTGGTGTTCAGTAAATGGAAGTCATTTTTGTTGTTACTAATTATAATAAAAACAAATAATGATGTACCATTGGCGACAGACACATTCCCTTCAAATTATCTTTGAAAATCCAAAATAGGGCCTTCCCTGGTGACGCAGTAGGTTAAAGCACAGCACTAAGAAGCTAAAGCCACTTCAGTATGAGTTTGATCCCCGCCCTGAAGGTGACCTACATAGTGCAACAGACCTCTCCTGGCCCACGCACTGTTCCCCTCAGCAGTGTACTTTGTCAGTCAGCCTGCTCTGCAGGTGAATCCTCTTACCACCCCTGCACCTCTGGCCTGTACATTAGTTCTGTATGCGAGACATGTAGCCTGTAAACTCTGTGTTTTGGGGGATCTAACAGCAGCTGCTCTAAAGTTTCGTTTTGTTTTTTACTACTCAAGACAAATGGCTTCCCAAAGCTCTTTAGGCCATGTGTACCTACTCTGCCTTATAAATCTTGATGTGCCAGGTACTGGAATGATTGCTTAGTCGATCCCTTGGGGAGCCTGAAGTGAAAGCATTGATTAGGTTCTTTTGGGCTGAGAGCCCTATTCAGCTGTTTCCCTGGCAGGAAAGTGATTTTTTTTTTCACTAGGGAAACTAGTGGCAGAATAATCTTGACTAGAGATATTAATTATCATTAACATGGTCTTCATGCTGACCTTCTCTACTCACAAATACTGTGGCTAGACCATGGTGGGAGCATATGAATGTACTGGAATCTGTATTTGTTGAGAATTTTAAAGTGGATATGTTTGTCAATATTTATCTCATAAGTTCATGTGATTTTTCTGTGTAATTGCTAGAATAAACCATCCTGTGATATGCTCCTTAAATGCAGAGTAGAATGCACTGTTGCCTGATTTGAGAATGTCACAGGAAATTTCTTGAACATTTTCATATTGATGAATATCAATGTAATAGATGCATGCTGGGTAGTTCTTGACTGAGCCAGTGCTATAGGGACTTGGTAGACTGCAACGATTATGGTCGTAGAAAGTGCCAAGGACTCAAATGTCTTCTGAAAAAAGCATCAGAAATAATATGATATGCAGGATGTGGTTTTCTTTTTAAATATTATATTTGATTTATTATTTATGGACTAAAAAAGAAAGGTGAGCTCCATTAACCCAGTGACCTTTATTTTTTTCCAAGCAGGATAATTGCATTCTAAT